AATATTTTAAAAACATATAACTGCATTCAGAGAAAACATCATTTATTTCATATAAACACTTACAAATTTTTTTAAGTTTGCCAAATAAAGGATTAATTAATAATTCAAAACTTTACGTGGTTGTTTACAAAATGAGGAATTTCTTGTTTATTTGGCCTAATCTACATGTATACAAGAATTTTACATCGTTATTGTTGTTTATTCATTGTTAGTTCACATCAAATAATTAGTAAAATATAACTTTCTATTACTTTTTCAATGTAAATCATTAGTCTAAAACTAGATTGATAAAATTCTTAAAATAAAAACCTCAGTGATCATAAACATAATGAAAAACAATAATGATAACATAACAATAAATATAACAATAATGATAACAATAATGATAACAAAATAATAACATAATGATCAACATAAAATATATTTTTTGTTACTACACAAATAAAACGTAATAATAAAATTTTATATTTAGAGAAAGAAAATAAGAACTCAATAACAATGATATCAATTAAATAATAGGAAAATGGGCTAATTCGAGTTCAAGCACAGGATAATAGTGCACAGGATAATAGTGCACAGGATAATAGTGCACAGGATAATAGTCCATAGAAGGGGAGGAGGGCATACTAGGTGACGGCGGGACGCCGTGCATTCGAGATCTGCATATCTTTTTCGTTCCAGAAAGAGAAAAATATCGAGAGCGCGGTCTTGCTAGGCCGGGACTCGAACCCGGGTCTTTCGCTTGCCGGGCGACTGCTCTAAACCACTGAGCTACCTGACGCTCCACGCTCACGATACTCTCCTCTTCCTAGATAACGCTCAGAGATGCCGTTCGGAAGCGACATCTCTGGCGCGATCCCGAGCGCACGGCGACTGCAGAGAGAAACAATGTTACTGTACCAAATGGTACAGCTGTCAGTCTCTCAAAGTCAAAGGTTGCTATCCTTTAAGACCTGCTGTCCATGTATACCCGTCTCCACCGTTGCCTCTCCTCATCCGGTGCAAATAATACAAATAAGCCCCGGGGTCGACACCGATTAATAGTGCTATGTACCATATGGGTAAAACCTTCCTTGTGTAATAGGAAATAGAGTAATATTTATTGAACATGAATACTCAATATAAATAATCAAACGTTTCGGCTTAATAATGAATTTTCTGGTCGATACCTTAATTTTTTGTCTTTCCAGCCTATTCAACACAAGATCGGAACAATTATTGGCTTGGTTGATAGGATGTTTTATCTTAATCATCCTACTTTCCATAAGAAAAATTTAGATTTTATCATTTTGACGCTAATTAATAATTATCCTTTTGACCTAATTTTTAAAATTATAAAACGTAGACTGAGGTTTCTTGTTGTAAATTGTGGACGAGGTTCAGAGATAGTTAAAACAAATTTGACAGCTTCTGGTTATGATAAAAAATATTTAACCATACCGTTTTTTGGTTTAGTTTCGAACAGACTGGCAAAGCTTTTTAGAAATAATTTGACAAATATTGCTTATTCTTGCACTAATAAATTATCAGGAATAATTCGTGTGCATAAAGACAGGTTGCCTCCTGGTTTCCATAATAACGTTGTCTATAAATTGCAATGCAGTAGGTGTGAGGCGTCGTATATTGGTCAAACTAGTAGAAGACTCTCCACGCATATTGCTGAACATAGGAGAATATCAAGGAGTTCTACAGTGGAGTTAACGGCCATACAGGAACACCGTATGAAGAAAAACCATGATTTCAACTGGGATCATGCCAAAGTTTTACATGAGGAACGTTTTTACTTGAAACGCCTGATATCAGAAATTATTTACATTAAACTTCAAAAGCATGGACTTAACTCACAAAAGGATACAGAATATTTGGGCAACGGCTACTGCGGCTTATTATGAAAATAAAACTCTGTTCGTCTCCTTCTCTTCCACGAGTCGTCGTCGCAATATTAATGCTCGTGTATATAAATCTGTTATTATCTGTATTACCTAGACGTGGCGATGTTATCGTTGACAAGATCGTTTTACTTTTAGCCGAGCTCAACAAAGGTATTTTATATTGACTGTTTTAATTATTTATTATATTTTAATCTTACTTATTTTTATTTTATTTTATGGTTTTTTTATAGTTATGACGGCTACTTCCTAATATTAAATTGAACTTCTTAATATTATTCCGGTAACGGTCTTGTCAACTATAATATTGCGAATAACATTCATGTCATTTTATTCAGGTCTTTAATTAATTCTTTTACTTGTAATGCGTTCGTTTTGTAAACCTTGAGTTTTTATTTATCACTGAAGAGGGTTCATGATTGAGCCGAAACATTTGATTATTTATATTGAGTATTCATGTTCAATAAATATTACTCTATTTCCTAACACAAGGAAGGTTTTACCCATATGGTACATAGCACTATTAATCCTGTGCTTGAACTCGAATTAGCCCTTTTTCCTATTATTTAAAATTTTATATTATTTATTCTACGTTGTGTGATAAATCGGGCGTGTGATAAATCGAATGGCGTTCCGCCTAGGGTTCTGTCGGGACACTACTCATTCCTTTATAAGGCGCTGAAATACGGGATGTCCCATAAAATTCGAAACGGTTGGTCAGTCTGCTCGTCCCGCTCCGGATGATAATTGCGAAGTGGTAACGCGTTTTCGCGATGACGTGTTTTCGCGATGCGCTCGTTGATCAACGGGTTGGTTAACGTATGTGAGACGCGTTTCGCGTCGGGCGGTTTAGCTGCACGTACGATCAAGAAATAATTTTTTTCGGGGGTAAAAAGGCCAAGCGTGATTAAGCGTACACGGTGGTAATGACCCACTGCGAGACGAATAAGGGGATACCGAGGCGCTCCGCGCGACTCACGGAGGGACGGATGCATATCTCGGCGCGTATAAAACGCGTGAGTTATAGTATCCCATGCTGCGTGCCATTAGCTGTTCGTTTACAAGCAACAACTTCATATAATTCCGGGTACATTATAATTCGCGCGCATTTATCAGTCGTGCTCGGCCGATTTGTGCGCGAATACGTCGCGTCCGACGACGTACGATAAGTTGATGGACGTACATTGTCCTGAAAAATGAGATTTTACTACTATTAAAGAATTATAAATTAATACATCAAAATATATGTATACAGGATGTCCGACGATAACATACAAAACTCTCGTGTACCTGTAGATTAGACAAGAAAATTAAACAAGAAGTTCCTTTATCATTTTGCAAACACAACCACGCAAAATTTTAAATTATTAATTTATCTTCTATTTGTCTTAATCATAATTTATAATAATTATTTCTCTATATGATTATAGTTGTAAATATCAAACATTTTTCTTTCAGTGTAACTTTACTGAAAATAGATATTTTTAGACTCATTTTTTTCTAGATATATAGAAAAGCTTTAGCTGTAAAATCAAAATAACATAAAACTCTCGTGTACCTGTAGATTAGACAAGAAAATTAAACAAGAAGTTCCTTTATCATTTTGCAAACACAACCACGCAAAATTTTGAATTATTAATTTATCTTCTATTTGTCTTAATCATAATTTATAATAATTATTTCTCTATGATTATAATTGTAAATATCAAACATTTTTCTTTCAGTGTAACTTTACAGAAAATAGATATTTTTAGGCTCATTTTTTTCTAGATATATAGAAAAGCTTTAGCTATAAAATCAAAATAACATATAAAACTCTCGTGTACCTGTAGATTAGGTCAAACTAAACAAGAATTTCCTTTATTATTTTGCAAACACAACCATGTAAAATTATAAATTATTAATTTATCTTTTATTTGTCTTAACTATAATTTATTGTAATTATGCAGATTCATTATAATTAAAAGGAATATTTTGAAAACATATAACTGCATTCAGAGGAAACATCATTTATTTCATATAAACACTTAAACATTTTTTTAAGTTTACCAAGGATTAATTAATAATTCAAAGATTAATTAATAATTAAAGGATTAATTAATAATTCAAAACTTTACGTGGTTGTTTACAAAATGAGGAATTTCTTGTTTAGTTTGACCTAATCTACATGTATACAAGAATTTTATATCGTTATTGTTGTTTATTCATTGTTAGTTCACATCAAACAATTAGTAAAATATAATCTTCTATTACTTTTTCAATGTAAATCATTTGTCTAAAACTAAATTGATAATTATTTCTCTATATGATTATAGTTGCAAATACCAAACATTTTTCCCTCAGTGTAACTTGACTGAAAATAGATATTTTTAGACTTTTTTTCTAGATATATAGAAAAGCTTTAGCTATCAAAATGTAAGAACAGAAATTTGTGCCCTTTGAAATTTTCCCAGACTTCTCACCCAAGTTAGTGAAAAATTTTTTAAACTCTTAACCTGCCGCACAAACTTTTATAATAAACTTTTTGGGACATATGGGACAATTAGGGTTGGGTAACTTTGAACTACCATAACTTTATTAAAAATCAATATGTCGAACTTTTTTTCCAGAGATATAGAAAAATCTCAGCTACGAGATAGTAGCACAATAAAATCAAAATCTGTAAATGGATTTTAAAATTTTCCTTTACTTTTTACAAATTTGATGAGCAATTAAATATTTATTCGGGTCCAATATTGCACAATAATTGTTCGCGGATGATTAACTCAATATGCGCCAATGAAGAAATCTCGCTCAAAACAAGTAAAAATTTTGCTTGAAGTGATAATGAAAATATTCCGAGACAGATAAGATAAACTTTACTGACAATTTATCCTTGTACTACTAGAAACATAGTAAAATTGAAAGGCATGTGTTTGAAAGAAAAATTATAATAATATTCTCTCCGTGTATGAAAAATAGTCATTCGATTGGATTTTTCGAGTAGCTTGACCACTATACATTCCAAATAAAATCTCACTCGGAGAAGCTTAGAAAGCACAAAATAAAAGAAATCAGCAACAAAATACAGAGTCGATATCTTCACGAAAATGTGCGCCCGTTTCTTTGCAGATCCTACGACGATGCTGTTGATCCTGCTCGTGCCTATAATCGGATCCGCGGTGGCGTTTCCCCTACCAGACACGCTCGACAGCCGTCGATCCGCCATCCCCCAAGACCAAAAGACGCTTTTAGTATCCACGGAGACACATAGCACCGAGGCGCCGACGGAGCGCGAGAATCCGAGTGAACCGCGAGAAATGATGGAGGAGAAGACCGATAAGACGTTGTCTAAGACCCTAAAACGCGCGACTGATCGTGCCGAAGCTTCTCCCGACTCAGAGACACGTGACGGCGAAGACGTCAGGAGGAAGCCGACGCAAGAACGGAGGCACAAGGCCATGTTCGTGGATTACCCTCTGATACCGCGGATCTACCCGAGAATGCCGGCGTACGAGATCAACGGCTACAACGACAACTCGGCGATCACGGGAACGGAACAGTCGCCAGGTGGGTCCAAGAGGTACCACGAGAGCAACATCTTCTACATCCGACTGCCGCCTACACCTTACATGTTCGTGCCCGGCCTCGGATATATCTCGCAACCGCCCACGTACTCGACCGCCGCCGTCGCTGCCGCCGCTGCCGTTGGCCTGAAGCCCCAGGTGGTGCCAGTCGTGCCTCAGCTACCCCAACTACTTCAAGTCCCAGCACCCCACGCGAGACCAGCGGTGCGGCCAACTCAGCCGGTCGCTCCTCAGACTCAGACTGTTAATCCCTTCATCAAGTTGCCTATAGACTTCGTGAGCAACGGCAAGCCCACCTCCGTCTACCAATGGCAGAAGAAACCCAGCAAGAAGCCGGCCGACAGCCCAATCACGAACCTGGACAACCTGTCAGCCAACTTCGTGAGCAACGGTAAGCCGACCTCCATTTATCAGTGGCAGGCGAATCTCAAGCCGGCCAAGCGGCCGGACGGTTCGCTCAACAGCCTCGACATGGGACCCTACAACTTCAACGGCAAGCCAACCAGTCTATACCTGCTTGGACCGGACGGGTCTTCTGCGATGCACCAGCCCATACGACGGTCCGATTATCAGGACGATTATCGGAGCGAGTATTACTGAGTTATTCGCGCGCGAGTTCGCACCTAGCTGTACGCATATCCGCAGGTGAGAGCAGGTGGCCGAAGACGGAGGGCGGTGGGGGACGCATGGCGAGATATGACGCGGGGTGAGGACGAATAATTCCGTGAGCTGTGAGAATTCGGAGCGTGCTCCCAAAAGTTCTCCAAGTGTAATCTCATTCGAAAATTTGCTGTAAGCGATCTTGTTGTAGGGAATTTTGTCATTCCGAAACGTAAGAGTGAATGTTTCATACAGAGTGGATTCTTAACCTAAGTTTCTTGAGTGAATGTTTCGATCAATTATAATGAGTTGTCTCAGTGTGACGTGAAGTATCAGATTGATTTTTTTCTTTAGCCTCGAATGAAAATATTTACTTGGCGATTCAGAATGGAGAATTCACTCTGTGAGTGAAAAGTGATTCAAATTCGAGTGACTCGGTTGATATTCTGTTTTACATGTGATGTTTTATACGAAAAAATTTAGAGAATATGCTCTGAATTCATAAAATATTCTCTGAATTATTTAGAACGAAATCCCTTATGAGTGAAAATTTGTTTGAAACGATAACGAAGACATTGCTACTTGGAATCGTAACAGTAAATGTTTAACTTAAACTTAAAGTATATTCTTAGTCCATATGAGTAAATTTCGATTAGAGTGATTCGTTTCATTGAGGGACCGAGTATACACACAGAAAAATATATATTGCATTCAAATAAATAGTATGTTTCAAATATTTCATAAGTTTATATATATATATATATATATATATATATATGCAAATCTATCATAAATTCATTAAATTCAAAGTATCTTCTAAATCTTGGCAAATTTAGCACTTCAATTGAATTAAAATCAAAATTTGGTTTGCCTATTGTATAAAGTTAAACCAACTGTTTCTTTGATAAAGTTTTACAACATTCTTGTAAAAGGAAAATAAATTTTTTTTTTAAATACGTGATAATATAAGTTTCTCTAAAATTTGTGATGAGTACATTTGAGTACGTTTTAAGATTATCGTTAGAAATTATCATTTTTTATTGAAAATAACCATTAAAAAGAACAAAAGTAAACTGAATAATCGATTTCCTTAGCAGTAGTATAATATTTTTTCTATGTGTATGTCAGATTCATTATTTAATTTTGAAGGAAAATATACATCCAATGATTTAGAGTGCAGAATTCATTCTATTCGAACGACAGATCACTCCGATTTGAATCACTCGACTATCACACTATTTTTCGAGTGGAAAAAGTTTAAGGGAGGAAACACTTTTCGATAAAAAATAAGTTTCGTGAATTTTTTTTACAAAAACTCATTTGAAGTTTCATGCATATAATATAAAATAGATTTAAATTGTATATTATATATATAGTCGACTGACCACCAGCACGAGTTCTGATTGGCTTTTGTTTTCTGCTTTTTGCTTTTCTGTTAAGTTATGAATGCGTCCAAAGAAAATGCTCTTGAGGCTAAGCAAATAATTTGCTCTGTTTTGGGAAAAGTGCTGTGATTTATATAAAAAATGGTAATATCAAAAGCTTCAGAATGGTAATTTCGATCTTTCCGATTAAGAACATCCTAGAGTACCAGAACAAATTGAAGACAAGAAATTGAATCAGTTGTTATAAGAAAATCCTTGTCAAACATAACAGGAGCTTGCCGAACAATTTGGTATCACCAAACAAACGACTTCCAATGGTCGATTTAGAAAGAAAGGCCACGAATTAATTTAAGGCCACACACTTAATAGCTTGTTTAAAATGTGGGATTGTAAAAATATCGTTTAAAAAAAAACGCATTTAAAAGTTTTGCGTGCATGATAAAGATAAGTTTCGAGTACTTACGCGAGTTTTATTCTAATCAGCAATTTTAGGCCCATATAGTATTCCTTCATGGAGCTCATATAGTATTCCTTCATGGAGCTCATAGAACTCATTTTGATTCCCTTTCATTCCAAGCAGCAGCTCGGGCCTCTTGGAAACCGTCGCTAGATAACAATCGACAAGCTCGAGATATATCTACTCGAACTGCCTACAGAACTCGCTCCGTCACATCATGCGCGTTGATTAATCAATCTTCTTTCGTTAATATCTCGAAAATTCACATAGTAGTTTATAAAATAGTAATGGCTTCTTTAATTAGTTCAGCAAGTTCTATATGTATATGACCAGTCGAACACTTAAATTTAAATACTCTGTAGAATCACACATACAAAAAAATTCAGAATCCTAATAGAAATAGAATTTCATTTTCAGAGAACACCTTTCCTTAAGAGGACTGGAGAGTCAGATTGCCTGAAAATCGTGCTTGTTTTTTCACAATTTTTCATGACAAACTGAATGAATATGCGAAAGTGTTATTTTGACGTGTATTTATACAACATATAAAGAGAAGAAAAATATAATTTTGATGATTAAATACTCAATATAAGTGTATAGTATATGCAGTTAAAATACATTTTAGTTTTTTTTCTTCAAGGCCGTCATTTTGCAGTAATATCTTGACTCTCAGTGGTTTAATTAAGTTGAATTTTAGGTAGAAAATTTCCGTAAGTTTTTCGTTATCGGGTGAACCACTATAATAGAAGTTGAGTAAAAGTTAACAAAATTGCAAATATCTTAATGGAATATTATTAAAATTTTCAGTTCTTTTATAATAAAAAAATTAATATTTCAAAATTAAATATTTTCACGAGTTTTTCAGTGGTTCACCCGATAATGACAAGCTTACGGAAATTTTCTACCTAAAATTCAGCTTAACTGAACCACCGAGAGTCAAGATATTACTGCAAAATGACGACCTTGAGAAAAAAACCGAAATATATTTTTAACTGTATGTACCATACACTTATATTGAGTATTTGTTCAAAATTATATTTTTCTCCTCTTTATATGTTATATAAATACACGTCAAAATAACACTTTCGCATATTCACTCAGTTCCTCATAAAAAATTGTGAAAAAGCAAGCACGATTTTCGAGCAATCTGATCCTCTAGTCCCTTTAAGCCTGCGTTATATCAGGCAAGCAAATCACTATTTCGATTATTGCATTCTTGACACGTGCACCGTAATCGGTTGTAACTTTGTGAAATGTTTAAAGATTTCCTCGTGAAAATTTAGGGACGTATATACTTGAAAGTATATACTTTTAAAATATGCAATGAGAAAACGATTTTTTGATCCGCGAAAGGTGTTTCCTCCCATTAAGGCATACAAGGATGACGATGACGATGATCGATTAGTTAGCTTCGTTGCCGTGAGCCGGTCGAGTGAGTCTGTGCAGGATGAAAACCAAGCTCGCGACGACCACCCGCGATTTAATGATAACGTCGGATACGTCGAACGTCTCAGACTGTAATTCGTCGCTCGTGCGCCACGCTTATTTATGATTCACGCGTCTGTTACATGTTGTCGCGTTTACCCTCGTCGCGATCGCTGTTAAGATCGCGATTATTGAAATTTTGTTAATCCGTCGCGCGCGGAAGCATGTCGTGGAATACACTTGCCGAGTTAATGGAGGAATTTATAATTCAACCACTCCTGTGCGATAGCTTGTTGGAGATCGTGTTGAAAGTGTCGTTTCGCTTAGGTGTCGTCTGAAGCGACATTTTACAACAGAACTTTATCATTTTGTATTACACACATATACAAACACACACCCAGCAAACACAATAATATAACTGTTACATCATCGTAATGTAATAAAATGTAACGTGTAATATAACATGTAACGTGTACTATAACGTTATATATAATGTACATGTTAATTATAATTCCCCGCTCAAACAAAATTATAGTTATGAAATAAAACCTGTAAATAACGTTACTAAAAGGTTATACAACAGTTATACGTATCAACAGCTGAAATATTATGTTATGTTAATCAGAATATAAGTTTTTTACTCCCCAGCAATCATAGAAGTCTATAATTGTATGCGGAGTTATAAATTGTCAATCAAATAGTTAATTTGTAAAAATATGTTCCTAAAATTGCAATAATTATTTCATATGAAATATTATATCTAGTAGACGTAATAATATAAAAGTATCTTGCTATGTCTATTAGAATCTATTCACTTCCATAGCGGGAGCGACTGTTACTGTCAAAAGTAATTAATAAAAAAGTATGCTACTTCATTAATATCACTATACAAATTTTGGAGTGATGATCGTCCTTATATATGTTAATGCATCATATTTTATGTAATAGAAACAGCGCTATCTAAAGAACAATCCGACATCTGCATACAAAAATGTCACATAACATAAACATGATGCACACTTGCTTGCTTGCAAGCTTGTTATATAAGATTCCAGATGGTACAGAGAATTCAAAAAGAATTTTTCAGAGTTCGGTTTAATGAAAAGAATTCTTCTGACATCTAAAAATGAACTCAGAATTGCTGACATATGACTTAATTCTTTTTTAATCCTCTGTGCTATCTGGGTTATTATATTTAAATTATGTTGCTGTTAAACTGTTATAAATAGTAAGTAATAGAACAATGTAACGGTTTAAAAGTTATGTTACAGTGATAAAAGGAAATTTGATATTAATAACAGCAGTTATATTACATGTTACTTCTATGTTATATAACAGTTATATTCTGTTTGCTGGGTATGTATATGTATATATGTACTGGATATGTATATGTATATATATACTATTAGTAACATAACATAAATGTTATAATTTCCCATTCGTAAATACAATGTAATACGTGTGTTATGCAACAGTTACATTATTGAGTGAGAAATTATAACATTGATGCAATGTTATTGTTAATTGGTGTTTACTGGGTATATATATACACATATATATACATACACATACACACACACATATATATACACACATATGCGATGCGTAAATGAAATAACATTAATTCGTTGTAAGAGATGAGATTGTTTAAACTTGTTGTTTTGTTCTTTTGTATGTTACCGAACATATTTATTGAGCGACGCAGCCACGATGTAATCAGAAGTCTGTACATATGTGAAATATATGTAAAAATGATTTCTTTTTTACATCTATGAGGTCACACCTTAAGTTCCTTTACTCATTCTCTCAACTCGTTCCCTCACCCACGACATTACTGGAACCTATGCGTTTCGGACGTTTCGTCCCTCGTGCGTAATAATGCAAATATTGACTTGGGACGTGAGTTTGGTCAGATTGTCTGGACTGTATCCTGTCTGGTTAAAAACACACGCGGCCGTTCACAGATTTGACGATGCAAGGGGATTTCATCGCAAGATTACCTCGACGCGATTCAACTTCGCCGCGTATTATTTAAAAGCACGAGAAAGTAAGTGACGTCTGAGATATATACTGGGAAGATATATGTTGGAGGACTGTTTGATATTTGTTTCAAATATTCACAGCATGGCATGAGGAAACATCATAGTAACAATGGTAAAAGCATGGAATTTTCTTCTAATATCCGCAATTTCCTTTATACAATAAAAGTTAAATATAATGAAGACGTTTGTTTGGAAATTTAATATGAGTTTATTCGCAGCGTTCCACTTACAAGGAAACTTCACAAACTCAAAAATTCTGATTATAATAAAACTTGGCTTATAATAAAACTTAGATTATAATAAAACTTGGATTACAATAAATATAGGTTAGATAAATAGATGAATATAGAAATTTTCAGCTGGTATTGATAAACGATCTAAAGAGGCGAAGTCATGCCTGAAAGATGCAGAAACTTTTGTCTTTTTTCGATATACCTTGCAAACTACATGAAATATTGAAAAATGTTTTATACAAAAGTGTTACAGTAAAAATATTTTTATTTAACTACGCTATTTGTTCAATTAACAATTTTTTTATATTAAGGTTCATTAATATTAGAATTTCCGGATTCGTGAGATTCCTTCTTGTTAATTAAAATGATATACTAACTTACCCAACGCTGCTTGCAAACAAAATTACATATCAAATAAGCAGCAACATATGAGATGTTGTTACTATTTTTTGAACAACTATTGGTATGATGTACGAATGTGCGGAAAGGATTCGCGTATGTGATCACAAAATTCAATTCATGCAGATCCTGAGCTTAGTAAATATTAAGATTATTATACTTATTTGTGTACATAAAATTCACTCTTTAATTTCTATAAAAAGTCACTAAAATCTGAATGATTCGATCGTCGTTACACATTTCGAGTGAAACTTCACTCGAAGAAATTTAAAGGGTAGAAAAGTTGCAGCGATATTTCAGTAAACTTTACGTAAACCTCGCGTGACTACGTGCAAGAAGTGCAGCCATGACGACTCTTGTCGGAGATAATGCGAAAAATCGGCGAGAGGTCAAGGTGACACTTCCTGCGGCCGTGCGTCTAATGTCGCAGACTTCTTTCCAGACTTTCTTTTGCGAGAGAAAGACCTCCGAGATGTAATTCACGGTAATCGTCCGGCAAGAGGAAACCGCCTTCGCTCGTGTTACACGTGAAACCGTGAAGGGGCAGGTAACGCGGTTGCCCGTTGGTGAAAGAGATCCTTCTCCTTACCTTTTCGAATTTATCACGGTCGATTACCAAAAAATGTGGTCCCGGAGGCGAGCGAATCGTCGCCACCGCCGTCGCGGCCGTTGCTTGCAGATATTAAAGTAAATGCACTGTAACGGGTTGCAAGTGGTTCTCATCCAGATACAAAGTGGTCGGGCAAGGTCATAAAGAGACAGCCGAGTAGATTCGTTACATCGTATCCCTTTTCTCGTGCTTCTCACGTCGCCTTATTAACCGAAAAAGCTCATTCACATCTGCCAGTTGTAGCCTTGAAGTATCGTACGTCATGTGTTGATAAATCGCACGTAACAAGACGACCGTCATTAAGTCGCGTATTTCTGAACCTCAGGTTTTTTTAATTAATTTCAAGTTTTCAAAAACACACCGTTAATTAATCTCATAGTTTTACAATCTAATTGTTAACTAGTCTTAGGATTTTTATAACTAATTATTAATTGATTTCATATTTTTAAAAATTAATCGCTTATTATAATCCCGTTTTTTTAAATTAATTATTAATTAATTTTATTTTCATAAATTTTTATTTTACTTAATTCAGGGTTTAAAAAAATTTGCCGTTAATTAAATTTTAAATTTAAAAAAATTAACCGTTAATTAATCTCAGATTTTCAAAATTTAACCGTCAATTAATCTCATGTTTTTAGAAATCAATCGTTAATTAATTTCATGCTCTTTAAATTAACTGTTAAATAATGTCAGATTTTTTAAAATTAATCACTAATTAACTATTTATGGTTTCAAGATTTTCTAAGAATTAGCCTTAGAATTTAATTAATATTAATCTCATGTAGTTTTAAAAAAATTAACCTTTTAATTAGTTTTATGTTTATTTACAATTAGTCGATAA